ATTTTAAAAATATGAAAAAACTTTGCAGTAGTTCATTTATCCTTAAAATAAATGAATTTTTAAATAAACGACCATATATTTGTAATTTCTTGCCAGATAAGTGGGATCAAACATCATTAAAATGCTGATAGCATTATTAAACATCTGTCAATGTGTTTTTTTTAAGGTCCGATTAAAAAGAAAAGTGTGAGGAAAGTATATTCTACCTTGAAAGTGGGTAAATATTTGCCGATTTTGGTTAGTACTTGTAGATTTGGTAATATAGCTATAATAGTTCAAAAAGATATTTTTTGGTAGTTTGTAAGGAGATCTCGGTATTGGTTTTAGTAGAATATATATTTTAGTTCAAAATTCGCAAGTGTTTGGAATATTTCGTTTTGGAAAATTATTTTGGGTGATTTTTGAAAACAATCAAGAAAGATTGGTAAAAAACTGTGATATTTTCTTTTAGAAAAAACATATTCCGATGTGTTTTGAATTTGTCAAAAGCAACTAATAGAAAAAGGATCGAATTAATCGAGAAAAGCCATGAAGGCCCTTGGTTTTGTCAAACCACTCTTGGATACACTTACTTTAAACGATGGTAACACCGTACCTAGTAAGGCTCGAACCCAAAACCTACTATTAAAGATGTGATCGATCTTTCTTTCATCATTTATTATGAACAGTAGGAAAATAAACAATGAAGGAAATTAGAAATAAGAATAATGTGACTTGATATGCAGTGTATACTATACTGTTAAGTATTATATTGCACAGCTCACGTATTGCATTGTACAGCTCACATAATTAGTTATAGAATTGGTTAGAGAGTTAGTTAGCTCATGTATTCAATGTGTATAGTTAGTTAGCTCAAAGTGTAATAGTCTAGAAGCTTCCAGCTGATGTGTATATATACTTCACTGATGAAATAGAATCATTCAAGCTTTGCATTCTACAAGTTATCTTCTCTGCTCTTCTTCTTTACTGATTGTAGTCAAGGCTTCCATTGTTTCAATTCTGACAATCAGTAAAGAATAAGAGCAGAGAAGATAACTTGTAGAATGCAAAGCTTGAATGATTCTATTTCATCAGTGAAGTATATATACACATCAGCTGGAAGCTTCTAGACTATTACACTTTGAGCTAACTAACTATACACATTGAATACATGAGCTAACTAACTCTCTAACCAATTCTATAACTAATTATGTGAGCTGTACAATGCAATACGTGAGCTGTGCAATATAATACTTAACACCCCCCTCAAGTTGGAGGTGAAGATAACACTGCCAACTTGTCAAGGATAGAAGAGTGCTTGATTCCTGTTAAGGCTTTGGTCAATATGTCAGCCAACTGGTCTTGTGTAGCAATATGATGCAATGTGATAAGTCCTTGTTGTAAGACATGTCTCACAAAGTGACAGTCTACCTCGATGTGTTTGGTCCTTTCGTGAAAAACAGGATTCTTGGCAATGTGTACGGCAGACTGACTATCACAAAAAACTGAAATAGGCTTTGGATAGGGAACACCCAACTCAGTAAGCAGTCGACTTAGCCAGACCAATTCACCTACTACTTTCCTGAGTGATTGTATTCAGCCTCTGCTGATGATAGAGAGATGGTTTCTTGCTTCTTTGATTTCCAGCTTATTGGACTGCCCCCAAGCAATACTATAAATCCACTCACAGACTTCCTGGAATCTGGACATGAGGCCCAATCTGAATCACAATAGCCTTTCATAGAAAAATCTGCATCTTTGGACAAAAACAAACCCAATGTAGGATCAAACTTCAAGTATCTTAGGAGGTGAAAAGCAGCCTGCAAGTGTGGCTCTCTAGGGTCCTGCATGAACTGGCTTAAGTGTTGAACACTACAAGCAATATCCAACCTTGTGTTTGTAAGGAAGTTAAGTTTTCCAACTAACTTTCTGTAGTAAGTACTATCACTTAGAACTGGACCTTCCTTAGCTCTCAGCTTGGTATTGGGATCAAGAGGGGAAGATAAGGAGCTCAGATGCAAACAATCATACTCCTTTAGTAAGTCAAGCACAAATTTTCTTTGTGAGACAATAATTCCCTGATCTGTGTGAAGTACCTCCATTCCCAAAAAATAGTGAAGTAATCCCAAATCCTTAATTTTGAATTTGTTGTTTAGATAAACTTTCAGGTCTGCTATCTCATCAGCATCAGTACATGTAAGAACTATATCATCAACATACACAGCCACATAAACTGCTGAATTTGCTTTCTTCTTGTAGAAGAGAGAATAGTCATACATAGAGTGAGCATATCCCCTAGAACATAAAGCTTCAGTGAGCTTAGCATACCATTGTCTACTAGCCTGCTTGAGTCCATAAAGGGACTTGTTCAACTTGCATACCAAATTAGGAGACTGGACTGCAAGTCCAGGTGGTACGTCCATGTACACTTCCTCATGTAGATCACCATGAAGGAAGGCATTATTTATGTCCAGCTGATACATAGTCCACCCTTGTTTAACTGCTGTGATTAATAAGGCCCTGACTGTGGTCATTTTCACTACAGGGGAAAAAGTTTCAGTATAATCAATCCCTGCTTGCTGTGTATAACCTTTGACAACAAGCCTGGCCTTGAGCCTTTCTATGCTCCCATCTGCCTTGTGCTTCATCTTGTAGACCCACCGGCAGCCTATAGCTTTCTTCCCAGGGGGGAGGGGAACTAAATCCCAAGTGCAATTTGAGTGCAAGGCATCAAACTCTTGTGTCATGGCTAGCTGCCATACAGGATCGATGACAGCTTCCTCATATGAAGTCGGTTCCCTGTCAATGCAAACATTTCTAACAATATCTTGACTAGCAGGAATTAGAGCACTATGAGCCAAGTGGTGGTGATTAGAGAAAAGGGCTTGGAGGGAAGGGTTGGTGCTTGAGTTTTGAGGAACAGATGGTTTAAGTTGAGGTATAGAGTGAACATAATCATTCAAATGTTTTGGAGGTTTGTGACATCTAGTGGATCTCCTAGGTTCAATTTGTTGGAGAGCATGAGGTTGGTTAACAGATAGGGGTGCAGGAGGTACAGATGGGGAAGGCATGGATGCAGAGGGATTAGGTGACAAGTCACATGTAGCAGTAGGACCATTTGAACTATTTAGAGTATCCTGTGTGCCATCTTTAACAAAAACATCCAAAATATCAATGAAATAAGGTGACTGCAACAATGAAATAGGTGAAACATTTGTATTTTAAGGGGTATTATTAAAAGGAAAAATATTTTCATGAAAAACAACATCTCTGGAGATATGTATCTTACCGGTAGACATATTTAGGACTTTGTACCCTTTTGTCTCATGAGGATATCCAATGAAAATATGAGGAGTAGTTCTTGGTTTAAACTTAGCTCTATGAGGTATGGGTACAGTAGGATAACAAAGACATCCAAAACTTCTCATGTGTGAATAGAGGGGTTTTCTGTGGTATAAAATTTCATAGGGACATTTTTTGTTCAACACAGTGGATGGGAGCCTATTTATTATGTATGTTGCACAGAGAATGCACTCTCCCCAATACTTAACAGGAAGTTTAGATTGAAACAACAGTGCTCTAGCAGTCTCAAGAAGGTGTTTGTGTTTTCTCTCCACCACACCATTTTGTTGTGGTGTGTAGGGACAAGTTTTCTGGTGAAGTATACCTTTGGTTTGAAAAAAAAAAGTTGTATTGATAAATTCCAGACCATTTAAGCTCAAACGGTCACTTATGCAGGAGCTCTTATAAGACTTTCAACAAACGTGAAAACATTTAAATCAAACTACAAATTCTCTCTTATACATATCCCCTCGCCTTACCATATAGCCCTCACATTCAACACTGAGCAAAAATATCACTCTTCACGACACAGATAAATCTAGTCTAGCGTACCAAACGGGCTTTCAAGTGAGGAAAAGGTGGTCCTCAGAACGCGTTATGCGAACACCGAGGCATTTGACAAAGAACATGGGGCAAATGGGTAGCCGAAATCAGAAAGCCAAAGAAGAGAAGAAGGCTTTGGTTAGGATCTTTTGCTACAACAGAAGAAGCTGTTGTGGCTTATGATGAAACAGCTAGGAGATTATATGGACCTTAATTTACCCCACATGAACAAATCACAAAAGTTCAAATGGTTCACTTCAAGCAACAACTTGTTTCATCAATATTCCCTAATAGCACTGGGTTGCTAAACTTAAGTGTTCAGCCTAATGTTCATGTAGTTCACCAAAGAGTTCAAGAACTCAAGAGAACATAGGCAGCAGCATCATCTTCAAGTTCATCAATCAGTGATCCCAACTCCCAAGAATGAAATACAAAACTAAACTAAACAACCCCACTCGACAATTCCACATGTGGAGGAGAAAAGGGAAGTCAAATTCTCGTCATGAAACAAAGTAGTGGTTCATGATCAAGAGAAGCCTCAGATTGATCTGAATGGATTTCTTCAACAGATTGGAATACTGAAAGAGATGATCAACAGCCTGATAGAGGTCATGATTGTAAACTCAGTTGCTTCACAGAGTGGGGAGTTTTACTTAGAGATGACAATTCAGTTGCTAATTTCTTTGCTGATACAACAAGTTACAATTAAGACACACTAGGTGCAATAACAGGTATAGAAGATCGTGAGGCAGCAGCAGAGGCTAGTAGATTGGTTGATGCGTACAATGTTAATGATGAGCTTATGTTTCCCTCTTCACTATGAAACTTCTGAAAATACTGAACCATTTTAATAGGTCTACCGTCTATATGACCAGATTTATTGTAGCTGTTTGTATGCACCATCTTACTAGAATCAAAATCATCACCAACTAGAGGGGAAACCTTTCAAACCACTCCTGGGTAATCAATCCCCTGTTCTTAAGGGGTGGGAGGATATTTGCTGATGTTAGCAGACTTGAACAAGCTAACGGAAACCTTGATCATTGGCATTCTTAACTGACTTTTCCTTGGGAGGTCCCACAAAATTCCAAAAGGAAAATAAAGAAAGGGGGGGGGGGGGGGGGGGGTATCTAGCCTTTAAAGACAACAAATACATAATTTTTACAGTAAGCAATGACATCAAAATGATAATTCATGATGTTACTACAAGCTTAGTCTAAGGTTTACCAGCAATTTGAAGAATATGATTCTGGCAATATGATGAAAAAATCTAAAATCACTTGTAGATAAGGGCATCGCGACCAGGTCCTATACCAATGTAATGGATAGGGACCCCAACAAGCTCCTCTATCCTTTCTACATACTCACGTGCAGCCTTAGGCAAGTCAGTATACTTCCTGATGGAAGAAATATCACTCTTCCACCCAGGCAAAACTTCATACTCCACCTAATATAGATGATAAATAATAGAAGTCAAAATACAGGAAAATACAAAATGGTGTTAAGATACACGCAACAGGAGGGAAGAAGATTCAATATGCATAATGAAGGTCTCTAGTTATGAACAGCCAATAGGAAAAAATTATGATTTATGGGAGAAAACGACAGATTGAAAGAACAAAGAAGCACCAAAAAAATCAGGAAACTTCATTTTTTTCCATCTCCCAATAATAGGGTAAAGGAAATCAAACAAAAGTTAACTCCTCACAAATGAAACTTTAATGAAAAAGATTTATGCTTTTCAGCGACACCAATGCGTTAATACGGCTCAATTTCCCCAAACATTCACATGAAAGTTGGAACTAATAATCTGGGTTTCCAAACACCACAATATCATGCAAAAGGATGTTGAAAAAAGAAAGAAAGAAAGATAAAAGAAACTTACTTTTATTTGCTCAAGAAGACGAAGATCAGAGGGAAAAGAATTTAATGCTGAGCCATCGGGATGCCTGTAAGTAACACCCAATTGAATTTCTGGTAGATCTGACAGCACATCTAGTTTTGTTAGGTTAAGAGAAGCAAATCCATTTATTTGACAGCAGAATCTCAGTGCAACTATGTCTAGCCAACCACAGCGACGCGGACGTCCAGTAGTTGTGCCAAACTCCTGCCCAGCAAAACGAAGAAGGTCACCACCTTTGCCCATGATTTCTGTTGGAAAAGGACCAGAACCAACTCTTGTGGTATATGCCTTAACCTGCAGGAAAAACATCAGTTAAAAATGTTTACTGCTCTACACTAAATGCAAACTGAAAGACCATGCAAGTGAACAGGTTCCAAAGAGCTAGTTGATATGAGGATCATATTCTTTCGCAAAGAGCTGGGTGCATTGCACGTTTAACCGATTGACAATGATATAGGTACTGCAATATGTTTTTGGAAAGATAACACTAGCTTTATTCCCATAATATTAGCTAGACTATCAGATAAAATTGAATATCATGAGAATTCTTCATTCTTCAGTGTAAAAGGGCAAAAGCTCCCTTAAGAAAATAAATCAAGTTTGCTTACCACACCAACAAGATCACCAACAACTCTGGGAGCAATGCCAAGACCTGTGCAGATTCCACCAGCCGATGGACTGGATGAAGTCACAAAAGGGTATGTTCCAAAATCGATATCCAACATTGTTGCCTGACCACCTTCCACCAAAATCTTCTTTTTCTGAGATATAGCATCATTCATGAAGTGCACAGTATCTGCAACAAAGGGTTCCAACCTCTCAGCAAATTTCTTATAGCGTTCCACTTCTTCCCTGAGCATGTCAGGACCATACTTAAAGCCTGGGAATCTTGCGGCGGCATCTGATAATAAAAGATCAAGCTTTTGGGGGAATGTGTCCATATGCCTTAAATCACTTACTCTTAAGCCATTTCTAATAACCTTGCTTGAATAGCATGGCCCAATGCCTCTCTTGGTGGTTCCAATAAAGGATTTAGCTAGCTCAGCTTCTCTAAGCCCATCTATTTCTTGGTGAAAATCAAATAACAAGTGTGCACGATCAGATACCAAGATCCTTCCTTGGCAAGAGACTCCATTAGCTTCAAGACCATCGATTTCTTTAAAAAGTCCCGGTAGATGCACCACAACTCCATTACCAATAACACATAGAGTTTCCTCGTTGAGAATCCCAGAAGGGACAAGGTGCAGGGCAAACTTCTTCCCCTCAGAATTGTAAATAGTGTGCCCAGCATTTGCTCCACCCTGAAAGCAAGAAACGTTATTGAAGAGCAACAAGTTCATCTCTCAGGCAATATAAGTGAAATGGAATGACATGATAGCAAAAAATATTAAGTTTAAAACAAATTGGTTATAAGTAATACATATGAAACATAATACAAAAATATTTGATATAAACATTGATAATTTCATAATATAGAACTTGAAACAGCTCTCCATAGAAACTATGAAACCCAAGGTTTCACTAGGCATCTTTAGGAGGCCTCCTTTATCCTAATTCACCCACTTACAGAAACCAAGTATATCTCACAGAACTTTCAAATAACAAAGCAAATACTGTTCTTGATATGGCCTAAAATTTACTCCATGACGTTAGGTTTGCAGTATCAGTGCTATTTAACTGGTTAAAGCAAGTTATTACTCACATTTATAAGGTTAACAAATCATGCATATCAAATTGTTTATGAACATAAACTCATATAAATATACCTGACAACGAGCAACAATGTCGAAATGCTTAGCCAGTATATCAACGAGCTTTCCCTTTCCTTCATCGCCCCATTGGCAACCCAACACGCCGGATACCTGACTGAGTGACTCAATTCGACTCGTCCCTGACTCATTAACCCCTTGATGGTCGACTACCGAGGCAAGCGGCTTTGTCGAACAAACGATAACTGAAGGAGTCTTCTTCCTCTGCTGGAACTGATTGAACCTACAACTATAGGTCCCATTGCAACCGAGGATCCCATTCCGGTGAGTCGCCGTTGCCGTGGTGATTGGATTGGAATCGAGCCTTAGAGTTGAGATGTTCATGGTAATGGTAGTGCCGCGGCGGCGTGCGGTGGCGCTGTGCACGCTAAAAACGGAGATATGCAAGAGAGAGGAATGAGAAATGAGGAGGAAAATGTTATTTTTTCAGGGTTTAGGTCCAATTCATTACGTGCGGCAAATATTATACGTACTGATATCTATTCTTTTCTCTCTTTGATTCCTTTTTCTATTTTTATTGGACAACTTTATTATCCTTGTTAAAAATAAATTAAGATATTTGTTATTTTAAAAAATTAAAATATAATTGAATACAATAAATATTGACTAATTATTAGTGTAGAAAATCTAAGCGAATAGCAGTAAAACACATACTCATATTTTAATATTGATGGTTTGAATTAACTCTTCTTTTTTTAAAGAGAAATTGATGTTTCAAATGATTAAACATAACAAATAAAGATATGATAGTCAAAAGTCAAACATATTATTTTCAAAAGGCGTGTAAATAAAACAAAATGACAAGTAAATTAATCCCGTGAAAGTACTTTTTAAATGACATTTACAACGAAGTAAAAATTCAAAATTATTTTTTTACTTTTTAAACCCTTATGAAATAAAATTCAAATAAACAAATTACAACGAAGGAGAGTAAATAATTTGTATGAGTATTAATTAAAAAAAAAAAGTATCAGAATCAGTGTTTGGGCCGTTTGTGCTTGATGTGAATGAGTACTTGGATCAAGTTTTTGCGCGAATTTTCCTTTAAATTGACCTGTGTTTAATTTGTATGGGATCAAAGTATTCTTATTCATTCCGACTTAATTCACTCGGCATAAAACTTTTTTTTTTTTTTGGACAAAACTAAAATTTTACTTTGCTCGACTAAGTTTTATAAAAACTAAGTTATGCATCAAAAGTTGCGCAGTAGCAACCTGTACTTATTCAATGAAAAACTAAATTGAAAATGAATTCTAACGTGTTTAAATATGTGTTAGATTCATGTAAGCTGCTTAGAGAGATTAAATTTTCAGTAGTGTCTAGGATTTCTTATTCGAATAATGAACCAGTAAGAGCAAGTATATCCCCTCCCCCCTGTATTGTTTATTGTGGAGTTGATCCACATTTGCTCGTTTTGTGATAATATATATCTCATTTTTATATCAGATGGACGGTGACACCTTGGTATGCTGTTAAAATGAGAGATGTCATTATCAATGGGACTGACTCATTTGCTGATAGAAAATCAAGAGAGATGCGTATAGCAATATCAAGAAAATTGCCTTCTTAAAGGTGGGAAGAGCAATGAATATGAATTTGAAGGCAAAGTTGTTTACAAGATGGGGATATTGTTCTTGTGAATCGACAGGTAGAGCCTTTTGCTTCACTCTGCAGAGATAGTTGTATGCAGTATTTCTAGGGTATCAAATAACAAAAGTGCCGTCTGTTTAACAGATAAATCACAATTAAAATTACTAGATTGATAACAAATGAATTGCATGAAATTGTTAAGCAAATTATCTATTAATCTGCAGAAAAAAGGTCACCGGAACAGAAGATATATAAAAATAAAAACATAGATGAATGGATGTCAAACAGTGAGTGTATGCAGATTGCAGACTATACTTTGCAAGAGACTTGGCTTTTTTATCCAACAATTGAGTCCACTGAACCAATCATCAGCAACTATTTCAGTTAAAAGAACAAGCTCAACCAATTTCAACATCATAGACATCATATGATTGTTCTCACACCAATTGAAATCCATAACTAACACAGCTCTTAGCCCCTGACAGAACATTTAAAAGTAATAAAATCTCACCTTACTAAAAATATAAAAGCAATAAAATCTCACAAAACACACAAACAAATTGTGCAACTCTTTATAAATTGCTGAATATCAAATGGGTGATGTCAAGGTCACCACAAGTACGGCGAAGATGTTCAAAAGAGAGGGGAGATGGGGAATTCGATACCAGCTGACATCTGGTGGACTATATGGACCAAAAAGAAACGGAAGACTTCTAAAGACATAGCCAACCCACTTAGAACCTCAAGTTTAACTAGAATTCTTTTGCTTTGTTTTTGGTGTAAAGTGGAGCTTGTGAATGCTGCTGAGTGCTGACCCTCTATTAGAATTCATATATTCCCTACGGGAATAGAAGGGAATGCTGCTAGACTTGTACAAATATGCCATTACCAACTCATAGTTGCTCTTATGAATAAAATACTTACCTCCTCAAAAAGAAAAAAATCTCACTAACTTTAGTCTTTATGTTCAAGTCATCCAACTCCTTAATAATTCTGTGTGCCAAGGCCTTCTCCTTGCATGGAAACTGATGGATGTGCAAGTTGCAAGACTCACAGTGAAACCAACCACTTGCACGTGCACCTCACTCACACATCCAACAGACCAAGCAACCTTAAGCTCACACAAATATTCTAGCGTAGGACACAAGAATCTCAAAGTTAAAGCATGCTGACCCGAAACATAGGAAGGCAGAATTATTTCTCCGAAACATGCTATCTCAATTCTCAAGTAATATGTGAGTAGAACACTTACGAATAATGGAGGGGAGTTACTACAGAAGGCGAGATCAACCTATAAAGGCAAGATAACTTCTTAGGTAATATTATCGCAAGTCCACAACTAGCAATCAGAACACTTGAAAATAAATGGCATTACTCCAACAGGTAAGATAACTTCTTAGGTGCTTTCCCTTCCCTCCCCACCCCACCCCCAACTCTGTCACTAGAGAATGAACCTTAAACAAGCATGACTCACCCCCGCCCCCTCTATATCTAGAGAATGGAACCTTAAACAAGCATGATTCATCCCTCTCAAAGTAGTTTTCTTGACTAGTTCAGTCTGCAAGTTTTCTTTTTGCTATAAATGCAGCAGGCGAGCAGACACCCGACCAGCTTGGGATTGAGGCATAGTTGACTAATTGAACTCAATCGACCATATTTAACTAGTCAAACACAACCATCATACTTGAATCTTCTCAAATGGCACACAAACTAAGCTGTTAATCACATAACCTGATCCAATTATAACACACTATTAAACACAATTACAAGCAAACAATACACATCCGTGAGTGAAAATAAAAAGAATAATATTGTCAACCATTGTCATTTCACAATTATCATATTGCTGCGTTTACAGCATCCAACGTTTCATTAAAACTGAACAAAACAGTAAGCTCAAACATCAAGTCTACGCTTAAAAGTCATAACATTTATTTCCCAACTTTCTAAAAACACAAACTATAAACAAGGAAAACTATCCCCATTTATCGAAGCCCTAATTTGACAATCCAAAAAAGGGCGGAATTCAAAACCATACCCGAGCAGATCCACATAAAATTATTCCGCATCAGCGGATTCAAGTTCGAGGCGTTTTAGGGCTTCTTGGTGGGCCCAAGTTTCAAGGGTGAGATCGGGCTTGGCATTGAGTCCCACACCAAGGATGACGATGGTGAAGAAGCTGGTGATGTAGCAAGGGAGTTCCCAATCCTCCCATTTTCGGGACTGTCCAGGCGGTGGTGGAACACGGTTGAATAAGTATCCGTTAGGTCGATCCTGGTGGCCCGCAGTGGTGAATGGATTTGGCCCGTGTCCTCCTCTGGTGCGGAGGCCCGAACAAACACGGGCTCGTAGCGCGCCGGCGGCGGTCGCTAAGGGTTTCACGGACGGCATCGTTGGACAGGTGAACGAAAGTGGTGAGAGACTGGGCCACGGCTGCGTATTTGTGTATTTGTGTGATTGGATCACCTGTGCTGTGCCAAACGCTGTCGTTCTACTCCAAGTGTTTCGTTGTGTAATATATGAAGGGGCGAAGCCGGGGCGGGGACGTTTTACTTTGTACGCGACAAAGCTTAAGATCGATTTATTATAGGTGTTTTTAAAGTCAAAATTATTTTAATAGAGTATTTGGGTTAATAAAAAAGTGTTTTAAAGTTAAAATTGTAAGGGAGCCGTTTGATCATGTAATATGAAATCATGATTTGATATCATAATATGAAATAAGGTGTCAAAAAAATATAAAAAATGGATTGAACCTAATCGTACTGAATCGATTTATATCATTTTTTCAATAAAATCGTGAAATTTTATTTAAGTGTATAACGTCCCGAACAATTGGGATGGTCTTTTTAATTTATAATAAAAAATTTTAAAAATCCGAATCGAACCGAATAACTTTACATGTGAATATATTTCATATATTAACAATATGTTGAACTTAATATATAAATATATTTTATAAAAAAATTCAAATATAAATATAACCTAGGTCCTGGATACTATAATAGATACTTAATCAAACAATACGGCAAAACATATTGAAGCACTCCTATTAAATGTTTAAGATCAAGTTGTAAAACTACTAAAATTGTCCTAATTCTTTATACAATCTTACTAAATAAGTTTTTTTTTTTTTTTAAATGCACAGTGCACTATCACAAAACTATTCTAAAAATACAATATTTATTAATCAAACTTTAATTCAATGAATAAAATTAAATTAAACATAAGTTGTAGTGTTTGTAGCTAAGTTCAATTAATGTCATAGTGGTTAGTCTAGTCCACTCAATATAATGATGATCTTTTTTTCCCATTAAACATTAATTTGAATGAAATAGTAATAGATTTGGTGAATATAAATAGTATGTTAAGAATTCATTTGAAGTAAAAATAAATTTTATATTGACGAGATTAATCGCTATATGAGATATACATGGTTTAAAAAGTAACGATATGAATTATAAATTTTATTTACATATGAAATAAATGGCTAGTACATATATATAAATTAAATATGGGTTATTTATACAAAATATAAATTTGTGGGTCAATTTTTATATTTGAAAAATCTCAAATCATGATTTGAAATTCCCAAATCACGATTTTTGGAGAATTTGAGATTTCATCTCATGAATAAAATCATGAGATGATATTACTATGACATCGCAAGTCCAAACGCTTACTAAAAATTAGTCAAAAGTCAGGAGTTAGAATTTCTAATTTTTTATTTTTTGGCTTATAAGTCATAAGTCAAAAGTCAATCCAAACAAACTCTTAACGTGGAAGATGTGACGTAAATTTGATGAATGTTTAGTTTTAAATTGTTGGTGTAATATACCACAAATACAATAAATTACAGT